TCTCTTTTTCATGCTGTAACTACTCCGTGAGGCGGAGGTGGTGTAGCGACAAGTGGCGCACTTTCCACTAAGGGGTGGTGGGCAGGGGTGGTGTAATAACAAGTGGCGCGCTTACCACTCGCGCGGTCCTGGGTTCGAATCCCAGGTCGACACCCGCCCAGGCCAACCAAGCCTTCTACCCTCCGGGGACGGTGAATTGGTACCAGATTCGTCTGGGAGGATAAAACACTGACTTGTACATCGGCTGGCCACCGCAAGTCATTGTATAGGCCACATCGCATTCAATAAGCCACTACGATTCTGAATGGAAGTAGAATGCGTGCCGCATCCCACAAAGGGATTGATTAACGGCGAAGACCTTTATCCTTTCAATTCCTCATATATGTTCACATTCAGTGGTTACGTATTATACTTCCTCTCGTGAAGTGAATTTCGTTTCGCATATGCTGTCCATCCCGGAGGCTCTGAGGGCTGCCACCTAATACACATCAAGATTTTCCTCGAACAATAATTGTAGCGAGATATCTTACCTCGAGGGAGATAACTAGTTGTCCAGAAAGTCCTCGCTAATTTTTGTGGTCTTGAACAGAAGAAATTGTTTTGTGAGAAGTGGATGAGATAGAGATACCCTCTTTAATTCGCTCATTTCCTGGAGTGGCTGACATTCTACTGGACATAGGGGGTACAAAAGCAGACGCTGCGGTCGAGCTACATATCAGCTAACGCAGCCCAGGGAGGAGTGGATACGAGTACCAAAAAGATACCCAAGGTGATGATGAAGATGTTCCTCGATAAGCAGGAGCAGGCTCTCATCCATCACCTTCATGTACACCAAAATATGAAGTCATCTCCAATCGCAGCCTGACTGGAGAAGGCCTATGGAATTCATGCCACTTTGAACAGCTGCGAAACTTCTTGTATGGAGTCACCGTGGACAGCTACCTGGGGACCAGCACTCTTGATCTGGAAGACCTCCAACATCGAGCAGCTCCGACAACGTCGCTACGGTCCAGGATATCATCTTCACCGCAGTCGCCAAGGCGCGGGTTGATGGTATGGATCGGAAGTTCCTAAAATGGGGACCGTTTTTACACGAGACCAAAAATGAGCGCTGACGATTATATCAGGCAGCTCAAGGAGCTTGCCTTACCGTAGTTGCCTGTACCGCCTGTATACACCTATATCACCTGTATCACCTGTGCTCCCGTTGATCATCGAGTTCCTCGAGCGGGCGCCAGTAACGTCTCCATTCGTCCCTGCAACGTGCAAGAGTTGCCCAATGAACTCTCTCAGCTCGAGGGACACGATGAACTTCATACCATTCGTTCAGAGCTTTCACGAAGAAGTCTGACCATCGCGTAGGCGGTCGTCCAGGCGTTCGCTTGACATCCCGTGGAATCCAGTCGGTGATCGCTCTGGTCCAGCGGTCGTCCTCGAAACGCATGACGTGTCCGGCCCACCTGATCTTCGAAACCTTGGCAAATGCGGCGGCGTCTCTGATCTTCGATCGTTGGCGGAGTGCGGAGCTCCGGATTCCCTCTCTCACTTGCGTGTAGCGGGAAACTCCGAGCATCGCCCTTTCGATGGCGCGTTGAATAACGCCGACCGCATGCTCATCCTGCTTTCGTAGAGTCCAAGTCTCTGAGGCGTACGTCAAGGCAGGAAGGACCGCGGAATCGAAGAGGTGGGCACGGAGCTTGGTGTTCTTCGTCTCCTTCGCTACTCTTGAAGGCTCCTCAAGCCGCTCGCTCCCTCCTGCTCAGCTCTGGTGCTAAGTCATTCATCATATTGATTTCACGACCTAGGTACACATAGCTAGAGCATTCAGAGATGGTCGTTCCGTTGAGCGTGAATGGGGCATCAGAAACCAATCCGTTTCTCATGAACATCGTCTTCGTTAGATTCAGCCGTAGACCGATTTTTCCACACGCGCAGTCGAAATCAGCCAGCATTCGTTCCGCTTGCTCGATGTTTGGTGTTATCAAAACGATGTCGTCAGCAAAGCGGAGATGGTGTAGTTGCCGACCGTCGATCTTCACTCCCATGTCTTCCCATTCCAGTTGACGCATGACGTTCTCGAGAGAATCGCCTTCATGTGTGCCCTGTCGGATCCCACTCTTCACTGATCTCCTTGTAGAATGGTGAGACCTTGGTGGTGAAGTTGCTGTAAAGCTCACGAAGAATCCTGATGTACTGAGCAGGAATTCCCTGGTTGTTCTGCCAATCCTGTTCAGGATGAATCGTGTGAAAAGTTTGTAGACTACAGACAGCAGGCAGATTGGGCGATATAATTGCCAAATGCCGTACAGGTCTCCCTTCTTGTACAGCAACACAGTCTTGCTGGTTTTCCACGAGGTGGGTACCTTGCATTCCGACAGGTAGCGCGTGAAGAGTCGAGCCAGAGTTTTGACGAGAACTGGCGGAAGATTCTTCAGATGTTCGGGTCTGATCCTGTCGGGACCGGGTGCCGTACGATTCTTCACCGACGAGATGGCGTGTCGGACTTCGGAAGGGAGAACTGCAGGAACGACATATCCATCCTGCTCCAAGCGGTATGGTTGCAGGTGGACGTGGCTGTCAAAGAGATCCGAGTAGAAGTCGTGGATGACCTTCTCCATTGCCCTTCTGGATGCGATTGTTCCATCCGGACGTCGGAGGGCGGTCATCTTGGTCTTACAGTTGGCGAAGTCGCGGCGGGCGTTGCGTATGCTCTTCCCAGCCTCTGCGGCTTCCACCAGTACTGCTGCTCTTCTCTCCTTGAGGTCTTCCTTTATCGCTTCTCTGCATAGCTTCGCAAGCTCAGACGTCAGCTGGTAATTGCCTGCGGCTCCGGCTCCACGTTGGCGAATCAGCTCGAGAGTTTCCAGAGATAGACGCTTCTTGGTAATCTTGGAACTCTCTGACTTCTTGGCGCAGTCGTGAAGATGTGCGACAAGCCGTTCGTATTCCTCGTCGATGTTGTCGATGACGGAATCCTCCCAGAGCCCAGCGAGAGAAGTGAAGTGATCCCAGTTGATGACGGTCTTGGGGCTTCGCTTCTTGAACTTTGCGGCTCTCTCCTCGCATCGAAAAGCGGAATCTCGCGCGAAGGAGACGGTGGTCGGATCCCGTGTAGAACTTAGGAACAACAGCGACATCGGTCAGGCAAAACCTTCGATTGAAGATGATGTGGTCGATCTCGTTATGGAATTGTCCACCAGGAGACTCCCATGTCCAGCGTAGAGAGTAGGGCTTCTGGAACTGCGAGTTACCATGGATGGTATGGGTCGACATGATAAACTCAGACAGCCTTTCACCCTGCTCATTCCACTCCGTTCCGTGAGTTCCGATGTGAAGTTCTTCAGCCGTTCTTCTTGGTCCGATCTTAGCGTTGAAATCACCGACGATGACCTTGAAGAAGGTATGATCTTCCTTGTAGAACTTCTCCAATTCCATATAGAACGCTTCGAGCTCATCCTCGTCGTAGCTTGATGTTGGTGCGTAGGCGACGAAGATTGTCAAAGCTGGAGTTGAACCACATCTTCTCAATCGCAAACGTTCGGGTCGTCAGATTTTCGTACGAATCGATGTTCATGGCCAAGTGCGTGTTGACGAGGACGCCCACACCGCCAACGCCTCTGCTGTCGCATGTTCCGAGGAACAGTTCTTCTCCAGTCTCGTATACGGCGTGTAGCGGGCGATGCCTCCTCGTCTCGGTCAGTGTACAGATCGTCATCCTAGTCCTGGGCGACTTAAATCTCCGTTGGCCCTGTGATTCTTGCAGCCTCGCCCGAGCGGTCCCAGCCGACGTCGCCCTGTCGGTGGTTCCCTCAGGTTCAGGGGAATGAGGCCCATAATTATTACTGTTTTCGGCGAGAAGAAATTTAGCTCGCCAGGCTCTGACGTGGCACCCTCCGCATTGGTACGGTGTTGGAACAGTCCAAACCGTTCACCCCACGCCACGTTGAGGCTGCGGATAGGATTTGTGGGGGTGATATAGCTGATAAGAATAGACAAGTTTTTCGTTACGAATACCGTGCAGTGCGCTGCGGGCGATTGGGCGTATCAATCGGGATGAGTTTGACGCGGTGGCAAACCCGCGAGCATATGACTGTATCATATCGTTCGTGTTAACGCGTCTACCACTTTTTGTCACATACGCTCCTCAACGAGATAGAGACCGGCTCTGACGGGGTGACACACTCATACTGCCTAACATGCCATATACTACCAAACCGTTCAGAGTGTATACTACCAACCATAAGGTTACAGTCAAATGCTGCAGGCAAGAGGCTCAGAGCCCATTCTAGACTAGATGCACTCATAAGTTAAGGTGACCTTCCGAGCGAGCAGTGAAGGAAGGGGTATTTAATGCGCTTGGAATAGAAAAATCAACATTTGAAAACAAAAACATTTGAGAGCTAAATAAGGATTAATAGCACTAATGATAGCCCCAATAATAGCCTCTCATTCCGTGGTTGTGCGATGATACGTCAAATTGTGGTAGGACAGGTAGATCGGAATAAAAGCAGAAGGGAAGGAGGGTCTAGAGGGTGAAGATACCCTGTGCGCAAAACTGCATAGGGTTCCCCACATGCTGTACGCGACAGAGAGACACAGCCAAACTTTTCAAAACCTTTCACAAACTTTCACATCGTTTATTCCTCTAGAAAAGGCATGCACACAATGCGAAAAATGCGATCGTATACTGGCCGTACTGCGTATACCAATCGGGTGAGGAGCAGATATCTGAGAAAGACATCCCAAACGTCTCCCACAACTAATTTCTTCTAGCGACACTTGATATGCTCGGCACGTGCTCCCAGTATTACTCACCTTAACACCCTCCATTTTTTCACATTCGTGTTATGAAGCGGGGAGGTACGCTATAATGGGGCAGGAAGCAAAAAAACAATGACAGTCGCCACACAAACTTCAAATCATGTTTCCGCTCCTGATACTGACATATCTACATTGCTGCCTCGAAATTGTTGCTCGGAAACTATGTACGGCCCATTTTTATGTCAAATTTCAAGGTGATCACATATTCCACCACCGATCGCGTCACCTACCGAGAAAGTAAGGATCAGGCAATTCTGTCTGGAGTGGATGATTGCTCGAAAATGGAGGATATTTTGGCAGCGGTCTGGTTTAGCACACTGTTTTTTTTAACTAAGGAATTCCACGAATTCTCAGTCGATGTTTTCTTTGCTGACAATGTTGTGGTCATTACTGAGAAGCAGGGTTAGTGATGGATATGTAATGGATCCAACATTAGTGCGTGGAGCAACAGAAAACCCTGAATGCATTTGCACGCCTAGAGTGGCGCACGCCAACGTGCGGCAGGGCGGAGTAGGCTGCCGACCAGGACGTGAGGCATTATTCAAGTTTAGCGATACGCCTGCGTATGTCAACGTTTGAGGCTGAACAAAACTGCCAGCTGAAAAGCGTTGCTATGCAACCCAGGGTACAGGCGGATCGTGGCAAACGGCTATGGGCGTCCGTACTTTTGCTTGGGGAGGGGGGGGGCGTACTTCTAAGACAAATTTGTTGTTGATAGTAAAATTTGTTTTGATATTGATTTCTTGCTTTGGAAAAGGGTGGGGGGGTCCAAATTTAATTTTTTGTATATGCGGGGGGGGTCGTACTCACACCGACATTTCGCACATCCCCATGCTGTGTCCCGTATGCACCGGCATGCGCGGGCCAACGCTAGATCGATACCTACATATTCGTAAATGCTGCTGGCGTACGCTGACAGAACGCAGCTTGATGCACATACTACGAAGCTCAGCTCAGTGATAGTTTTCAGGGACATAGGACACAGGCCAAAGTAAATCTCGCAAACATCCCACTACAGATCTGAAATCATGTCTTGCGTGACAGCGCGCAATGTAATTTTCTTCTACCTCTTATCGGTATAGACATCCCGTCAATCAGTTCCATAGGACTGACCATGTGATCGCGCAATAGTAGACGCCAGCAAGACTTCTACTCCAAAACATCCTTTTCCTACGAGCACAATAATGCTTATTGTTAAGGTGATTCGACTTGGCCCATGTGAAATAGACTGGGACTACGACATGATTGTTGCTATTCTAAGAAAGGCCCATGAAATTTTGTCACAGGAGCCTACACTTCTGGAGGTAAAGATGCTGTTACAGAAGTACGACTATGCTTTTGAGCTTTTTTCGGTTTTCCTAATTGAGCCTAACTAATTGATGGAATTTTAAGCTAACTGTTCCTGTCGCTATTTATGGGGACATACATGGGCAATACAGTGATATCTGGAGGTGGTTTCATGTGAACGGATGGCCTCCTGAAACTCGCACTCTCTTCTTGGGAGACTATGTCGACAGAGGTCGTCACAGCACAGAGGTTATACAGTTTGTTTAACTAATAGAATATTCTATCAATGGTCAGTTCTGAACATTAGTCAAGATGAGCTGTAAGCTTATCGCGTGAATTCTGATCCGCTGCTGTGGAAGAGTGTCACTTCAGTCACTCAAAAAGCTCGGATATGAAGCGGGAGGGTAGGGATAGCTGGATGACATTTCGGGCTCCATGCGCTATCTGCGACGAGCAGTACGTGCTTTGATGCGAAGGTTCCCGCAGCAGATAACATGAAAAGCAAGCTGTTCGACGTGCCAATGTAGAGACCAACCCGTAACAACGCATTTTTAGAGCCATCAGCAGCGAACACAAACGAGAACAGTGATGCGGTGATTTTCATGTGCAATTGTTCAGCTGAGGCAAATAATTGTGAGGCACACGTTCTGGACCAGAATTGGGCGCAGAATCCAGAACAAGAGCCCATGTGACAACGACCGAACGCACCAGCCAACAAGTTGCTGAGCTTTGTCACCCCTCACCCCGTAACTAGTGCACTTCCAGGTATTAATGTTCGTACTTCTACTGAAGGTTGTGCTACCTAAAAGTGTATTTATATGTCGAGGCAATCATGAAGAGCCAGTTGTTAATAAAGTAGGAGCTTGAGTTCGAGAAATAATGTCTTAGTTTTCTTCTACGCTTCCTATACCTACTGTTTTACAGACGTACAACTTCTATAGCGAAGTAAAAACGCGATATCCGAAATCTTTCAAGAAATTGTACAAAAAAATCGCGGATGTGTTCGCGTAAGTATTCCTGTAGAGAAGGAGCCAGTGCTATAGATATCCAACTGGAGCTTAGAACTTGCTAGCATAATTGTGACTCTGCTCAGTTCAGACCTGGGTCTTCCCTTAAGATAGCTGGTTCATCCTCAAAATATGGTACAGGTTTGTGATGTCCCCTCATCCTCTGGAACCGACTGACTTCAGTTGTTTCCGAAGCCGTGCGTCGCGAAATGACTTCGTCACATGGACGCATCAGCAGAACCATCATCAGTCGTCTCTCTACTCTACCTTTTCTTCATGGCGGAGCGGTATTTCTCTATCGACCACTTCTGCCGGTCAAGTTGTTTCCGATCACTATTGACCAGAGCTCTGAAGCAACATCTACGATGCTGTCAACTTGGTAACCAGAGCCAACTGTAAACCAAATCGCCCACACTTTGGCCCTTGGGGGGGGGGTGGTTTGGCCAGAAGATGGGTGAAGCATGTCGGTAGCAATGGAGGTTGTGTTCATTAAGTGAACTCGTGCTTAATAAAGAAGTAGTACATAGAAAATACTGTATGAAAGCATGACCTTCTGATAGACAACAGAGGTTATGCTTGAGTTTTTTTTTCTTGGGTTTTTGGAAATATGCAAGGTGTTTCTGTTCATCACACTTTCGTTTCATGTCACCAACCCTTGCAAGATGGATCCGCCTGGGCACTATTCGGTCCAAGACCACATGCGACGTGGTAGCATGCACTGCCACTGTGACACGTATATCTGAACTGAAAACGAAATCTCTGCCGATACGAGGGGTGTTCGATGTATTCATACGTATGAAGGAAAAGGCAGTAAATTCTGAATAAAAATTTTTGCATGTAGTCCCCATAACCATAATAGTCTCGTTCCTCAGGAAATCAACTCTTCAATACCCTCTACAGAATATTTTCCTCCTTTTCCCCAAAATGTGCGTTGAATTGCCGCCTTCAGCTCTTCATCGTCAGAAAAACGCTTTCCACGAAGGTTTCTTTTTGCAGGTTGGGGAACAAGAAGTAATCACTAATCATTTTCTCAGTTTTCTTTTCATCCTCTCAATTTTCTTCTCATTTTTCTCAATTTTTTAATCAGTAATCATTTTCTCAACATTGCCGTATCAGTCATCCTGGTTTTTACCAAGAATAGCTAGAACAGCATTGATGATCACTAAACGGAATCTCGCATTCATACCCTCAGGGAGTGTCGTTACCTATTGAAATGATTCATATTTCTTCGTCACTGCCAAATTACCCCGGTACCAAGAATACTTCGAACGGCCCTCGTACTATGCGTCATCTCTACGAAATGATCACTAATGAAAATAGACACAAGTTGAAGTATACCAAGACATGGTGAATATTTTTGTTGTTTTATTTCAGCGTAATGCCAATAGCGTGCCTGATCAGCAACCAGGTTATCTGTATGCATGGTGGACTGTCGCCTAAAATACAGACAGTTGCTGAAATAGCAGCGCTACGAAGACCGCTTTCGAAGGACAGTAAACCCGGAACACACATTGATATTTTGTGGTCTGACCCTCATCCGTACAAATGGACATATGAGGTGAGCACTGCAATAAGCAAATAGTCACCCCATACAGTGCACTTCAGCGGACGGTGGGGCGGTCCTAAGGCCACGCTGGCGAGCGGCCCGATAGTTGCCTGTCGGTGGATGGCCGCAAAAACCTTGCCTCTGCGTCTCTTACTCTGCACTCTGCGCTCTAACACACGCCGCCGCACCGTCTACCCACTCTTCCGCTCTGGGCTCTTACCGATCGATAATTGCTCTCGATCAGCTGATTCCTGCCGCATTTTCGCAGTATTTTTGCTAGATTCAGCTTGTAAAAGCTGAAACTTATCTGGTTTCGATCTCAATTTTCAACGATGAAGATAGCGAATTTCAAGAGTTGAGGATAGAGTCCAAAATGAAAAGAAAAAAGTACACGAACACAGTTTCAAGAAAATCACGGAAAAAGCGGGCCACGAAGGCGACTTCGAGCTTCAGAACCGAGTCAGAGATGGTTCTCGATAATAACGAGATCACATCTGAGACACTGCTTTGAAAACTCGGTCAATAACATAAAAGAAATGGGGATATTAAGGAAAAGTTTGGAGAAATTGCGAAAATCAGAAAGAAAAACAAGTTTCCTAGGGGAATTTCATGCTAAATTCATGCAAAATGTGGAATAATTTCAGTAAGATACTCACCTTCGAACATTGAAGTCAAAAGTCGAAAAATTTCAGCTTTAACAAGCTGAATCTAGCAAAAATACTGCGAAAATGCGGCAGGAATCAGCTGATCGAGAGCAATTATCGATCGGTAAGAGCCAGAGCGGAAGAGTGGGTAGACGGTGCGGCGGCGTGTGTTAGAGCGCAGAGTGCAGAGTAAGAGACGGAGAGGCAATGATGATAATCTCCTGAAAGTTTTCGGCTTTCCATCGACACGCAATCACCGGAACGCTCGCCAGCGTGGTCGTAGGGAACGCCCCACCGTCCGGTGAGCGCTCCACTGTATATATAATTTGCTTCGTCTGTTTGTTTGTTTGTAAGTTTGTTTGTCTGTCCGGAAATTCGGTTCGACCTGAAGAACGACTTGGAGAGGTCGGGTCAAGGTGGGGATGGGTAGAGCATGGGACAAGAAATAAAAAGCACACTTGACCTATGCGAAGCCCCGCCCACAGTGGGCGGGGCACTCGCCGAAAGTTTGGGGTTCCGCACAGAAATGTTCATAATTCGCTTCCGGAGCAGCTCAAAGATGGGGAAAAGTGGAATGAGGTTAGCAAGGAGTTGCCAGACTAACTGTGGGAGACACATCCAAAATGGGCGGGGCGTACTCAAGGTGGGCTCCGAAACTCAGTAACCCGGTTCGCGAGAGTGTTTAGAAGTCGCAAAAAGCTCAGTGCAGAATGTAAATATCTGGCGAGTGTTGGGCACGCTCAAAGTGTGTTGAGACCCGCCCACAGTGGGCGGAGCTTGCCCTAATCGCAGGATACTCATTTTAAAAGTTTGTAGCTCGGTTCCAGAGCACTGCAGAAGACCGGAAAAAACGTGGGTTAAGATCAGCGGAGGTGATCGGAGCCAGACAAAAAAATCTGCAAAACGGTTTCAGAGCAGTCCAGACACCGTCAACATGTAAGCAGAGATGTGCAGGACCTCAACTGTTGGATATATGGCAAGAGTTGAGTGTGTCTGTGGTGTGTTGTAACCCGCTCCCAGTGGGCGGAGCGCACGACGTACTTATTCTTACTGAGTTTTAGCGCGTATTCTGCCATACTCTTAACCACCGGTCGTCATAGGTATTAGATTCCAGTCGGCTCGGCGGCTGATGCCAGCGCTCCTCTCCTGTGATACGGCCCAAGTTGGCCGGACGGGCACGGCTTCGCCACACATTCCTTCCCCAGCTATTCTCTCGCCTGTGCCCATAATCGACGCACTTTAGTACCACTCCATACTCAGTAATAGTCAAAATAGCAGGGATGATGTATTTGTCGAGAAGCTTTAACCATGAGTACAGAACAAAAGCCTGATATCAGTTGAGTCTAGAAATATGTGAAAGAAGGTACGCGCGGCGAAGCCGCGCCCGCCCGGCGCAGCCGCGCCCATCCCGGCGAAGCCGCGCCCGCCCGGCGCAGCCGCGCCGTATCAGGAGGAGCCGCGGGCGTCAGTCGGCGAGCCGACTGGTGTTCAGTAACGTTCAGTCACATTTGTATGAAAGACAGAATCAGCGATAAGTAAATGGACAGAAGAACTAGTGGAGACTCATGACCATCATTTCTTCCTCATCTGAATTATCTTTGCCGACTAGACAGAGACTCGCCAACAAGCGACAGCTGTCGGAGTCTCCGCCCATGGGTTGTCGCGGAAATGTGTCTATGAAACCGTCTGCGAGATGGTTTCACTCTGACCGAAATAAATATCATTTCAGCCCAATACACTGCGAGATCCAGGAGGTGGTGGCCTCGGTTACCTTTTCGGACCCATACAAATCAAGAGATTTATCAAAAGGAATGAGGTGTGATTTCCATAACGATTTTTATGTTTGAAGTCATGCCCAACAAGGAAGTGAGGGGGATAATGTGCTCGCCGTAAATTAGCTTATCTGGCACACGATTTTTTTAACACTGTTGAAACACGTGCACCTGACATCCTTGAGACGCGATAGGCGTGGATGCGCACTTTACTTGAACATGACATAAAGTAGGTTACTCGTGCCATATTTCATTTTGAGACAACTGTCATTTTGTCTTCTATTGGACAAAGGCATGTTAAGGATGTTTAGAACCTTGGGTTTTCGGTTTTCACCTATGCGGTATTGTGCATGAGATCGCACCCCCACCGAAACAGTCCCGGGTTCCAATGCATGCGCGGCCGTGAGAATACCTGCCCAAGTTTATATTCTCCACGCGGTGATTGTGGGCTTCCTCTCACTGCTGTACCATGCAACAGGACCAGTTCCTGCCAGTGGTCATGTAAGCAGGGCACACCATCGCGTTGTGTGAAATTTCCACTTGATACGACTCCCACCTAAGAGCGGTCCTCCGTACACTCCCCCGTCCTCAAAATTAGAAAAAGAGGACAAAAGGAGACAAATAAAAGAATGGTATAGGATCCGATACTTTATTTCGAACGTTCGCACGCATTCAGAAGCTGCCGCGTGCATTAGGAACGTTTTTCTGCCGTTGCACTGCAGCATGACCCTTCGCGGTACGGACCTAGGTGGGCCAGAAACTGCAGAAGCACCATTTTTGGATACCCTCATTTTTCTTGAGAGTGGAACTTCTGAAGCAAGTGAAGCAGGGTTGTGAAGCTTTAGGTTCGGCTTAGTGAACTGCGATTAAGTAAAGGAAATATTCCCGCCGTGTCGTCGTTGTTGAATTTTAATGCTATCTACGAATTTTCATTCTTTGAACAGCCATAGCTTTCTCAATATGTGACCTTTATGAAATCAGAAACACCGCCACAATCTAGATGACTTACCTTTCTGAAAGAACATTTCACTTTTTTCCGCACTTTTCCACACTTTTTAAGAAAACTCCCAGTTGTGTTTTCGTTGTGAGACAGTTACGGGTAAAACGAAAAATCCGCAGAACCATTTCCAGCTCGTTTGAACACTTGGATACGCCCCTAGAACACATCTATTCGTTGAAATTACCAGGAATTAGTATACCAGTGCTGACTGACATCACTTATGCGATGCGCCATGTATCCAACTCTTCGCAAATGTGTTGGAAAGGTGTGATTTCCGGACAAGGGTTCTCCAAGCAAGCACGCGTACTTCTGGGGTTCAGATGGGTTAGAGTGTTACTGTGTTTCGTTTATTTATTGATTCATTGGATAGTTGTGGGTGGCCACAAAACTTCTTCACATCTTCCGCTCTCCATTGCTGAGCTTGCAGCTCATCTCACATGTCTCGTGTCACATGTGTTCCTCACAATAAGAGCCATGAATTGGTCAATTCTCTTCAATGACTGTACGGCATCTGAGTATCGCTGTTCTCCACGTTTGTGACTGAGCCTGTGTTTTGGACGCTCCCCCTTCCTTCGCGGTCAAATAAGACCCCCGCACAGTTTTCCACAACCAGGCGTGCCCTGTATGTGACCCTACGTGCGAGTGACGACTCCAAATAGGTAACAGCAGATAGGCGGCTGCTCCCAGTCCGGGAGCAGGCGAGGAACTCAGATGACTCGGATACTTCCGGTGTCAGGATGAGACGTCACCGATCACCTTCAGTTCCATCGTCTCGCTGCCCGATAATAAGCTACAGTCGCCGGGTGACTAGCCCTTGACGCTGGGTGCTAGCTTCGACCGAATCCACGAAGAATTCGATACGCACGCGGTAGAAACGGAGTGCAAATGACGTGCGACGGTCGCATCTGCAACATTCCCGTGGATGTAACGTCTAAAACCCATCTAAGCAGGCCTTGAATGTGACGCTGATCATCCCACTCCCCATCAATACTCCCCTTCTTGTCGCCTGAACAACTTTGAGCTTTTTACAGCTCTCGCTGATTGTCCGTGGACATCAACCTCCAATGAGTGGCTATGAGAGAGTGGGACAATACTTGATAACAATTTTCTCTACTCCAGGTTACAGAGTTCAGGACAATGTGGGCAGCATGGGTGAGTGCAGTCTGAACGGAGTGATTATGTATTAGTTACAAATGAATAAGTATTCAGGTGCGTCTTTGGTAATAGATGAAGACGGCACAATGGATATTATACGAATCCAAGTGGGAGAACAACTAAAGCTCAAACGACAACGATATAAAATGGACAAGGTAGAGAATACGATTTTTGCACCTGATTAACTATGAAAATCGAAGGTACTAACTGAGTTAACAATGAGGAAAAGAGGGGACAATACCGTTGAAGACGCCCAGAATAAGGTCCCAGGTGTAAGTATTCGAAGAAGCGGAACACTGTTGCGCAGGCGAGAGACCGGGGAGCAGTGACAAGGTTTAAGACGAGCTGGACGAAAAAGTTACTCTATACAAAATGAATGCAAAGCGCTACAGTGCTGGCGAGACTGATTCTGTTTGGTTTATATCTGTATTTTTTTTTTATCAGCCAGGAGGCTCCGTGAGTGTATACAACCACACACACCCTTCGGCAGGATACAGATATGATGACCCAAGCATATTTGCTTCCCTAGGTGGTAAGATTCTCCCGAGACGCGCAGTGCGCTTGCACTGTGGCTGCAGTGCCCTCATTCGATCCCTTAATTAGTCCGGAAGTGGGCAGCTCTTCGAGAAGTCCGCACACCAGAACTACATGTTCCGGGAGGACATCCCGCTCACCCCTGTGGTCACAGAACTTGCCTTTAAAGGCACTGGGCCGATGGCTAGTGGCGGGCTTGCTGCCAACGCCATTTGTGAAAGAGCAGGAGATGAATGACTTCGGGTCAGTCCAAACCTCCTCTCGCGACCCTTCCACCAATTATGTTGGCAGCAAGGGACCCCCCTGCCATCGTGCCCCTTCGAACAAGGCTGAGCAGCGTTCGAACAAGGCTGAGCAGCGTAGCAGCAGTGTATGTCGAGCACGACAAGAAGGCTACAGCACGACACATTCAAGTCAGTCGTGTTACCTGGTGCCGCATTTTGAATTTGGGGTACAGATATCGAAAGCATGTTTAAAGGTGGAACGCTGCTTCTGCTGCATGCAGTGTCCCTATCCAGCCAGCTGGTCGCCCCTGGCAATCAGACCGGCAGTTGCCAGCTATACAAAGGAAGGACTGGCAGGATACCCAAACCGGGCTGCGAAAAAAAATTGGCCACTGAGAAATGGTGCAAGTAGCACTCGCAGGGGTGGGTGAGGGGCACGGGGAGGGGGACAATGGACATAAAGTCGTTTTATCTACAGACTCTGGGCGTGTAGGGCTTTGCTTGGCCTGCCGCTAGCCATTCGCCACCAATTACTGAAGCACGCAAGCGACAACAATCGTGGAAAACAGGCTGGTTTCGCGAAAAACTACCCCTCCCCTCCCTGACACGTATCTGCGCCTGCAGCTAAAACGACTACATCATATCGAGTTCCTCGCACCATTCGCTTGCCCCTTTACCCATTTGAATTACCTCAGGTCGCAATTAATCGGGGCGCTGTCAAGAAACATGGAAGAAGCCCATGCTAAGAGTTTCCCACTACTGGTTGTTCTCTTCCTAAAACGATCACCATCAACCAATCATTACTGGTAGAAATGAGAGTCAGCGCCCCCGACTAAATGCGACGATATCAGCTATGAATCCTTTTGGGTGGATTTTGTTGGGCCAACAAGCTATACCAAACGAATCAGTACAGGTAAAACTTTCACAATTCAAGTCTTTCAAAGGCTCTGGGCACTGTTTGAATAAGGGAAAGCGTAAAACAAATGGTGAATCCTTCATGGATTTTGCATTCATATAAGGATAGGCCTTGGCATTACTCTAATGATAGTGGGGAGAGATCACCCAATATGACTGTGTCTGGACGACTTCCCCGAGAGACTTGTAACATACCCATGGTGCCCGGCTCCTTTTCACCTTTATTCACCGGTGAGGCTATCTAACCATAAGCAACAAAACTTACAAGACGGACTCACTTACTTATAAGGGTCTCTTGAACTTTATATGAAGTCAGAAGAAATTCTCAATTTCAGGGTGACAGCTATCGGGACTGTGGAAAGCCGAAGTTAAGAAGAACTACTTTGTCAGATGAAAAGTACAGCTGAATAAACATGAAACGGTTGTAAATTACAGGAGAATCAAAGCAGTCAACCCAAGATAAAAACTTCAGAATGCACCATACAATGAAGTAAATGTATCGGCTGGGAATAGTGGAGCGTTGAGGCATCGCGGCGAATACTACGTACGTCACCTCTCCTGCAACACTTAGGCTGCGTTTATACTTTGCGGCAGCGTAGCGTAGCGCTTCCAGCGTACGCCAGCGGCAGTGCCGGGGAGAGGATGCATATCGATCTAGCGTTCCCAGCGTCACCAGCGTAACGCTAGCGTACGCTAGCGTTACGCCAGCGTTTCACCAGCGTTTTGCTAGCGTTTGCAGCGGCAGGGGAGTAGAGACTATGGGAGAGCTGGAGGTACAAAACACATCGATTGCGCGTCTCTCACTCGCCCTCAGTCTCTACTATACACATCGATTGCGCGTCTCTGACGGCCACATAGTCTCTACAATACACATCGATTGCGCGTCTCTGACGGCCACATAGTCTCTACAATACACATCGATTGCGCGTCTCTTACGGCCACATAGTCTCTACTCCCCTGCCGCTGCAAACGCCAGCAAACGCTGGTGAAACGCTGGCGTAACGCTAGCGTACGCTAGCGTGACGCTGGTGACGCTGGGAACGCTAGATCGATATGCATCCTCTCCCCGGCACTGCCGCTGGCGTACGCTGGAAGCGCTACGCTACGCTGCCGCAAAGTATAAACGCAGCCTTATTTCGTCTCACTTCCGCGAATTGAGACAGTGTCCATACTCCGTGATCTACAATTGCAACAGCACTTCAATGGTTTCAACAAGTCCGCATGCAACGTGTCTGACCAGCGCTGCTTGGGGCGTCCTCTAGGCCGCTTTCCGGGAACTTCGAGCTCAAGACCAATCTTACGGACAGTGTCACAATTCGAAGAACATGACCGTACCATCGAAGGCGAGCTTCGCGCATTTTCTCGGCCACAGGAGCAATACCGAATCTCTTCCTTATGTCGTCATTGCGTATGCGATCCATACGCGTGACACCGGCGGTCCATCGCAACATTTTCATCTCCATGACTCCTAGGCGCGCTTCAACTTCTCTGGTCGTAGGCCAACATTCAGCGCCATATATCGCGACTGGTCGAACGACGGTCCTATAGATCTTCGATTTGAGGCGATCTGGTATTGTCTTGTCGCAGAGAACGCCAGTCATAGACCGCCACTTAGACCAGGCTGCACTCACACGCGCGCTCACTTCTGAGTCGAGACTACCGTCAGACGTAATTGTTGATCCGAGGTATTTGAACGCTGTAGTTCGCGTGAGCACACTGCCGCTGACCTTAAGGGAACCAGACTCGTCCGGGTCAGTCGTCAGGTACTCGGTTTTCTTGACGTTCAATCTGAGCCCGAAGTTTGCTAACCGTTCAGTCCAAGCTTGCACTTGTTCCTCGAGACCATTTTTATTCTCGCACGCGAGCATCACATCGTCAGCGTAGAGAAGCGTCCAAGGAGCCGGCTTTTGGAGGTCCCGTGAGATGGCGTTCATGACGACAATGAAGAGCAGCGGGGAAAGCGCTGAGCCTTGGTGCACCCCAACTGTGATGGGGAACCCATCGAAATGCCTGCTGGACTTCGCACTCGACTCGTCGGGCTGAAGTACAGGATGCGTACCCACTCAATCAGCTCTTCGGGAACGCCGTGCTGCCGTAAGGCATACCATATAACTTCACGTGGGACACGGTCGAATGCCTTCTCCAGATTGGTGGTGACGTCTGCTCCTCCCCGCAGGTGCCACTGAGTACTGCTCGCTTTGCGAGTTGCTAAACGCAGACACGAATGCAGGTGACAGGCCTCCGTGACGGGCCGGCCTACGAACACCCATGTCACATCATCATGTTTGATCATGCCACATGAGAGATTGTTATCGTTGAAGATTGAGTAACCACTACTACCACGAACAGTGATAGCATGGAGAGAAAGTAATAGAGCGATCCTAAATAAACAAAAACTCTAGTTGGAAGAACCAACCTATGGCATTCAGAAATTCACCACGGACGTTCGTGTACAGTTGCACGACGCTATGGTGTCTCTTCCGGGTCTCGGCGAACGCGACGGGAAGGCGTTGCGCTGTGGTGAGTGCGCAGCATTCACGCTGGGACCCAATCCGTTTGACGTAGCAGCTCTGCAACGTGCCGACTCTTTCTGTCCTTCACGTCAACTAACTAGGAAAGCTTGCGAGGCCGCTACGTGAAAGCAACGCTAGAATGTGCTGGTAGATGACTATGGCAGTCGTTTATTGGAGTCGACTGCTCGGTTGTATGGTTCGTGGTAGAATGCTGACTTAATCTAGGCGTGCCTCTCAATACAGGAGAGGTCACGCATCGAGTATCTAACTATTTACCTATGGGTCATAATCACATGTCTCAAGTTTGCCTATGGCTTACACGTATCAATCAGTTACTCATAAAGGGTGCGCCGGCAGGTTCTGGTGGCAATCCAGAACACTCCGCGGGGCAAAAAGGGGAATGAAGACTAAAATATGATAACAATGTGGAGGTATATCACAATAATGACGAATGACTTAATTATGGGTGGCCTAGTAGGCTTTGATGAGCTTAGTAAAAGTGGACAGAAGAACGTGGTATTGCTCGTCTCCAATTGTGCTCGTGAAGCTTGTGGGCGGCGGAGGTAGTTGAGGCATTTGGCGCATCGGTAGATGATCAGGTGAAAAGTGTAGTCATTATTTTATGATCTGCTATAGAAGAGCAATTATAAATTCGATAAAGCTAAATTTGATTCGATGAATATGTTACATTAGTCGTTGTAGTGCAGGTTTATTGAGGCTGGGTGGCCTCGGTGGTAGTAGACCGTCAGGTAGTAGAATGCTGACTTAATCTAGGCGTGCCTCTCAATACAGGAGAGGTCACGCATCGAGTATCTAACCATTTACCTACGGGTCATAATCACATGTCTCAAGTTTGCCTATGGCTTATACATATCAATAGTCCATGAAAGGGTGCCCACCGGTAGTTCTGGTAGGCCATCCAGAACACTCGGTCGGGGCAAAAAAAGGGGGAAGAGACCGCGATTATGATAACAGAGGAGGCCATATCACAATATCAAGGCAAAAGAAACAGGTATGGGTGACATAGTAGACTCTAATAAAGCTAATGAGAGCCTTCTGAGAAATGTGGGAATATTCTTCCTAGATGGTTCTTGTGGCTCGTAGGCGCTGGTGGAGGTTGGTGGAGGTGGTTGAGGCGGCCATCCTGGGTACGACGGTTGACGATCAGGTGAAATTGTTTCAATTAGTCAATGGAATGATAGTGTGAAGTCATGAGGAACATAGTAGATCATACCGGGTCTTCTGCATCTCTGTAGTGTCTGTGGCTTCGGACTGTAGATGTAGCTCATGTTTCCTCGGTATGTGGAGAAGCGAATGGTGGAATTATAGTAATTGGAATTATAGTAATTAGTAGGGCAAATCAATGAAGAGGACTATATTAATGTTAGCACAGTATTCAACTTTTTAAGCACTAGATCTGAGAAAGCATTCGATAAGGGTGCTTGAAATAGGACAGAGAATAATATAGATTGAAACCAACGAACTAAACAAGTGACCAAACAGAGCATGTGCTACTTATGTCTGGAGGAAGTCGATCACTTATAGTGAAACGTGAATAACGCGTATTTCTCGTCATGTATTTGAAACCGAAAAGTAAATGATTATCTCTTGCTGAGTAGGGTTTTATGCACTGATTAGCGGCAAAATTACGCTGAAGTGGATTTTGTTGTCTTGTTTTTGTTCTTTTGTTGAGCTTTAACAAGATATGCCCTTAGTGAAGCTACCCCACATGAAAACTGTGTTTCGTTGGGGTACGGATTGGGCTCTTTAGTTTTCCAAGCTCATGGGGCTTTTCAGTAGGATGAGGCACCAAGTGAAGACAGTTACCCTCACCACTTTTGTTTTGCTCATGCCCGCTTGCACAACGAGACATTTTTTCGCGAGCCGACTCAGGTCCCCTCTACACTTTTCCGTAGAAAATTAGGTCCCCACTGCTCGCTTTTGAGATCTAGAGCGGTGAACAAGGTAGGGTCAAGTATTTTAGCCCTGGCTGGTGGGTTTCTTATTGCGAACTTTGTCTCCCACTATTTTGGTGTTCGATCTCGCCCAGATTGCCTGGACGATTCTTCTAGAAACTGCGAGCCATTTTGACTCCTTCTTCAAGCTCCTCAAACTTCGTCATGAACTCTTTACGTTCTCCCCGTGTTTCTAATGTTAGGAATATTCTTTCTAAGGAGCTGACTTTTTTAGTGAGCTCTTCGCTCGCGCTTCTAATATGAATTTGGTGAAAGTTAAACCACTTCAGGTTCGCAAATAGCTTATTTAACCTTTCTTCGTGGTTTTCTAGATCAATAGATACCAGTCGGCTCGCGGCTACACGCGGCGTGGCTCCTTTCTCCCTCTGATACGGCCGGCGGGCGCGGCTTCGCCGCGCGTATTTTCTTTCACATATTTCTACACTCAACTGATATCCGCCTTTTGTTCTGTACTCCACTTTTTTCCGGTGTCTGAAGTACTCTTGAGCTACTTTACAGATTCTTCGTCTGACTCCGCCCACCTCGGAGCAGGCCCCGCCCACAATGTTTGTGCCCTACAATCTTCACCGGTGACCCTCTGCTGACCTCAATCCACTTTTTTCCGGTGTCTGAAGCGTTCTGGAACCGTTCTACAGAACTTTCGTCTGGCTCCGCCCACCTCGGGCTGGCCCCGCCCACATATGTATACCCCACATTTCTCAATCGGCGACCCCATGCTGACCTGAATTCACTTTATTCCGGTCTTCGGAGTGCTCTGGAACCGTTTCACAGATTTTTCGTCTGACTCCGCCCACCTCAGAGCAGGCTCCGCCCACAATTTTTGTGCCCACAATCTTCACCGACGACCCTCTGCTGACCTTAATCCACTTTTTCCGGTCTTCGGAGTGCTCTGGGACCGTTTTGCCGATCTTTTGTCTG